AAAAAAAAAAAAAAAAAAAAGATCTGTCGTGGTATCCTGCAGTCCACTCACAAAAAAATGTGTAATCTTCTCACTAGGAGAAGATTCTGATGTTATAAATATGTTCTCTTAATATTATCTCCAACATCTCCACAAAATGCCGGTCTAGTAAGCTAGTAAGTGGGCCAGAATGGGCCATGAGTTGGTGGTATTGGGGAGTACCACCAAAAAAAAGGAAAGGGAAAAAGAAAGGGGAAAAAGAAAGGGAAGAAAGAAAGGGAAGAAAGAAAGAGAAACAGAGAGAGAGAAAAAGAAGAAAGAAAGAAAGGAAAGAAAGAAAAAGAGAAAGAGAGAGAGAAAGGGGGAAGGAGGGAAGGTGAGGAAGAAAGAGAAAGAGAAAAAGAGGGGAAAGGGAAGGAAAGGAATAATTTATGAACATTCAGGGAAAGGGGAAAGGGGAAAAGGGAAGGGAGGAGAGGGGAAGGAAAGGAAAAGGAAAAGGGTAGAGAAAAGGGAAAGGGAAGGGAAAAGGAAAAGGAAGGGAAAGGAAAGGAGAGAAAAGAAGAGGAAGGAAGGAAGGTAGGTAGATAGGTTAGAACATTATGTTTCTCTGTTATAGCATGTACCAGATTACAATATGATATTCAGATCATTTATCTTTTTGATTAGACTAAATTCAAGAAAAGGACCAGGTCTTATTTGTTTTTGTTTCCTATTACCTTGACATTAATTATTACCAATAAAATTATATCACCAAACTATGTTCTACATTTCAAGCTAATTTCCTCTCAAAATAACTAAGGAAATACATAAAATTATTTTCAACTGAAAAGTCTATGATTCCCAGGAAGGACTTTAAAAGCTTCATTATGCAAAAGGAAATGATTCTAAGAAAACACAATTTAAAACAAGTTATTCCTTCTAAACATTTTCAATACTTGAAGGTTTCTAGAACTCCTAAAAAACACTTGTTACACCAAAGGCAAACTAAATTCACTAGCCATCTAAGTTATTTATAAAATTTTAGTCAAAACAGGATAGTGAGTTGAGGGTGTAGTTGAATGCTTGCCTAAACAGTGTCTGGGCCCAATTCCCAGCAACATGTACACACAAACACACATATACACACATACACACATACAGTAGAACAATAACAAAAGGACAACACAGTAAGACATACCAGGTTAAACCATGATTTAGTAACAAGATCTTTGTGAGTGTGAGTGCCAGACCTAGAGCTTAAACTCAGGGTCTGGGTGCTGTTCCTGAGCTTCTTTTGCTCAAGGCTAGCACTCTACCACTTGAGCCACAGCTGCACTTTTGCCTTTCTTTGGGTACCTTAGTGGAGATAGGACTCTCACACACTTTCCGGCCTGGGCTAGCTTTGAACCATGATCCTCAGATCTCACTCTCTTATGTAGTTAGGATTACAGGCATGAGACACCAGCACCTGGTTAACAAGATCCTTTTTAAAAATAAATTACACAAGAAGAGGAAATCTGCTGTACAAACACATTGAAAGTGGTCGTTCTGTACAATATTTAATTTTATTTAACTTTATTTAATTTTATTATTTCAGCAATACTGGGATTTGATCCCAGGGTCTCATGCTTGCTAGGTAAGTACTCTATCACTTGAGCCATGTCTCTAGCCCATAGTGCAGTGGTTGGTTCTTAAAATATGATCTATGGATCTCTGATGGTTTCTAAGACCATTCCTGAGCAAAGGTATTGTATAACAACAATAATTACTTCTTTTTTGCATTGTTTATTGTGCAAACTTTTATACCAAATTGTATGCAAATTAGCAATTTGCAGCCTATCACTAATATGCAAATCAAGGAACTGATACTCTACTTAGAAGTCTATGGTGCTTATTTGCTACCACTGTATAGTCACAGTGAGGAATTTCACTTGAGTGTTCTTGAAGAATTAGGAAATAGTTATTAATGTTATTAAATATGAATATGCATCTTTATAATATTCTGTAAGTCCACACAAGTCACTTCTGCATACTGAAGTAAGATGGCTATTTAGAAGAAAAGTACTTATGAGTTTGAGTTACAAAATTTTTAAAAACTGAAAACATTTAAATGAATCTTAGTTCTTATTTGTGAGTATATTTTTATATGTTGTTATTCCTACAATTCATGTTATTCAAAAATACTTGATGCCGGATGCTGGTGCCTCACACTTGTAATCCTAGACATGTAATCCTAGACATTCTGTCTATTCATCCATGCAAAGACATCAGGATTGTTTCTACCTCTTAGCTACTGTGAATAATATTGTTATGGACCATCTTTGAGTTAGTATTTCCATTTGTTAGGGACATATTCAGAATTCAGGAACCATATTGTAATTACAAGCTTAATTTTTAAAGGAGTGAGCATAGTAACAAACAACTATTTTTAATGGTTTCCATTTTAATTTCCAATGTTCTAGTATGGGTGCACATAATCCACATAAACAAAAGGACCCTAGAGATCTCAATAATTTTTAAAAAGAATAGGGAGCATGGGATTAAGATGATTCAGGAAGTAGAGGTATGGCCCAAGTGGCAGAGCACCAGCCTTGAGCAAAGAACTAAGCGACAGCACTCAGTCTGAATTCAAAGCCTAGTACTGACACATACACAAAATAATAAGATTCTGAATGAGTGCTCACATGGAGTGAGTGAAATAGGTTTGTTAGGAAGCCACAACAGTAGAGAACATCTTAGACAGGACACTGTTCAGAGAATGGTCAGGTAGTAAGAAGAGACTTAATGCCAAAGAAGAACGGCAGGGGCTGTGGGAGAGAAGCTGTTGTGGCCTGGAGAAGAGAGGCATCAGGAAAGAAACAGTGATGAACATTGGAAGTTTCTCACAAAAGAGATTCAACTTATGTTCTGTGACCCTGGGTTAGGGAGAGAGGTAGAAGCAGATTTAAAGGGAGTGAATTTTAGTTCATAATTAGGAAGCCACTGCTTCAACAAAGTATCTCAAAGGTGGAATTAAATAAGGTAGGTACATCAAGGATGGAAATGGCCAGGGTAGGTACATAATTTTTGAGCTGGAAAGTTAGAATTTTCAAGTTAGTGTTTCCCAACCAGAAAACAAAGAAGAGCTTAGAGAGAAGAATTAGGCTTTAAAGAGTTAGCTCATTAAAAACACCAACAACTTTGTGGTCTTTTTTAACCCTGATGTTCTCTGGGTCTTTAGGCACAGGATGTCTGATAGACCAGGGTTTGCATGGAGACATAGAGAAGTTAGGGATCTAAGGAAGCGAGGAACCCTTTCTGTAGCCTTTTTTGGGTCCTGTTTACCCTTCAGTGGAGCAGGTGGCCTCAGCCGCTGTCTGAGCTGCTCGCCTCTCTAGAGTCCCCTAGTTTCACCAAGGTTAGAAACTTAAGATGACTCATGGCAAGGCTTTAAAGATGAAGATGGTTTAGTAGGGGTAAAGACTCAGACTTTGTGTGTGTTGGTAGGAAGCAGGTCATATGTTTTAAGGGTACAGAAAGGGGGTAGAGAATGTCAGTGTCACCATAAATAAATGGATGAGATTTGTATTCAGGACCAAAAACTGAGTTTCCATTACACTGTCTTGCTGGAGGGAGATATTTTATCTCTTCTACTGCAATGTTTTGTTTAAAAGAAAGCTTAGCTTACCTGTAAGTAGTTGTACAAAAGAGCTTGCCCTTCAACCATGAATTGTTGAATTCAGTGTATTCAATCAATGAATACAGTGAATCTTGATCAATGTCAATCCTTTCATCACTTTCCCCCAACCTTCCCAACCTCACCCCTACTACCTCAATTTTCCTAATTTTGTAGGACAGGCATTGCATCTTATGACTGCATCATTTCCCCTTTCTTCATTCATCTGCCTCCTCCCACTGATCCCCCTTCCCTTTGAGTACCTTTCCTGATGGTTATTTTGTTGGACTCTAGGATAGTCTTTCTAAGGAATTACATCATTTGAGTTCTCTCCTGAATCTACTGTATTTGGGTTAATACCCTTATCTTCACTTGGATACCAACCCAAAATGTGTATTTATAAATTAATTCTAGTTTACACGTATGAGAGAAAACACATTCTTTGTCCTTCTAGGCCTGACTTGCTTGACATTTTTTTCCAGGTCTTTCCATTTCTTTGCTAATGACTCAATATCATTCTAATGAATGAGTATAATTCCACTGTGTATATATGCCACATTTTCTTGGTCCATCTGTCCATTTTCTTGATCCATTTGTCCACTGAAGGGCATCTGAGCTGATTCTATACCTTGACGATGGTGAATAGTGCTGCAATGAGCATGGTTGTGCAGGTGGCCTTACTGTATCCTAGTTTGTAATCTTTTGGATAAATGCCTAAGAGTAGAATTGTTGGA